ATTTTAAAAAGTATTTAATTCAAAAAGATAAGTGTCATTTCATAGACTAATAGCAAATATTCTATTCCGATAAACTTCTTAAAATTTAATTACCATGCTAAATTAACTTTAAATGAATGATATGAGATATTTAAAAAAAAAAAAAGAAGTGAAAATTTCAAGAATACGTGAAAGCATACGACAACATCGTTTTCTGTTTGATTTTTTGATGCAGGTTTTGTCATACATATAAATGTGAAATTGAGCGCAATTGTATTAGAAAATATTGAAGTTAGGCAAATCCACCCAAGTAACAAAATGATATAGCGTGTTCGATGTTCGAACAAACCACCCTCATGTTTTGTCCCCATTTACTGTTCAGAATTCTAAAATGAATCAAACTGTTTGTTGTAATAGTTTATTATTATCTCTGGAAATTCGCTATAGTTTATTCATTTCGCTAAATTTCCAATTTAAAAAAAAAAAAAAAAAAACATTATTTTCTTTGTAATTTAATAAATACTATTTATTTATTTATTACCATCCTAAATATCATATTCATTTTTCAAATCTAATCATCAAAGAGTGTTATATTTCAAATTTTTTTAAAAAAAAAGAAAAGAGACCAAAAGAAGAAAAAAATGGTTATTTGTGCAATGTTTTTATAATAAATAATAAAGAATGGAGTATTTATTTAAATGCTATTCCATTGCATCTTTTTTAACAATAAATTTGAAACTGCTTAATTCTATTAAACTAAAATATTTCACTTAAAAAAGAAAAAAAAAGTGGAATTCGTCACATATTTTACAACTATTGCGCACGAATAAATTAGTTTCGACAGGTGATATACGGAGTCTTTTCAATAGTATATGGTTAAAGGGTTTAACAGACTTCCAAAAAGATTTTTCACCTTCTCAAGGAGCTTTCTCGTAACAGTTTTAGACAGAAATGGATTCGATATAATAGGTGTAAATTGAGAAAATGCAGTGCGAATAGTAATGATTGCCCTTTTTTTTGTCTATTATTTATATAAATTCAGACATCAATACTGATTTGGCACCTAAAAACTGGTTTTTAGGTGCCAAATCTCGAAAAAAAAAATCATTACATGAAATTGCAGGGCGATTTTCTCTTTATTTATCAATTTCAAAATCAACAAAATAATAGCAATATTTTTATATCACAGAGATAAATTTCATATGATAAAAATGAATGGTTGAATGAATGCAAGGTATCATATGAAATGATACCGTTCAATATTATGAATTCAAATCGAACTTGTTTTTATACCAATTTATAGTAAATGTAACTTCGGTTATTTTTTATTGATACCGTTCCATGACACATTTTGAATCTTTGCTATATTTTATTCGTTTTATAATGAGGCAATTATACTTTAAAAAACTGTAAACTATCAATTGTACTTATAATACGATACTTAAATTATGATGATTAATAACCGTACTATAATATATCGTGTATGAATTATAGATTAGCAATGTTCATTACTTAATTTAATATGATATAAAAAAAAAAAAATTTTCTTTTTTTCGTTTCTCTTTTTCTATCTAATTGCGAATTAATTGATCTTTCAATAGATTTTGCTATGCTTATTTTTAATAATCAGTAATTAAATTCTAATAAAACAACAACGATATATTTTAACTGTATGAAATAAAAAGATTGTAGCATGTCGAGCAGACTTATTTTAATGAAAGTTTTGTTCTTAAAATTACAAATAGGAGAAAAGAAAAAGGATGCATTCATATGTGAAATATCTCGAAGAACTTTTACAGTTATGCTTTTGTTACTGTTATTTATGCTTTATTTGAGAGAGAAAAAATAATAGTAATAATATTACAATAAAATATTAACTGAATATTTTTAAATGGAAGAATAATAATAATACTTTATTCTTCCATTTCTCTTTTTTTTTAATTTCTCTTTTTTGACAAAATTTCAAATAATTGAATCAAAAATACTGCATTAAGGATAGAGATTAACAAAATGTTTTGAAATCTAATAACACAGATATTTTGGCATTTTGAAACAAATTGAAAATACATATTTACTAAGCCTTTTAAACAGCAAATAAAAATAAAAAATGAAAGTTAAAACACAAAAATTAAGAAAAAAAAAAGAGAAAAAGCATTGCTTTTCCATTTTAATGAAATTTAATGCTATAATGAAAAGAGTAAGAATGAAGCATATATATAAGAGAAATTTGAAACAAATTCATCGAAAAATTTATAAGACATTCCCTTTTTCTTTTTTTTTTTTCATAAAGTTTTAGCAAATGTATGCGCATGTATGTATGTATGTGTATGTGTATGTGTACACGTGTGTGGTTTTTTTTTTGCATGGGTATGTGTGTGTGTGTGTATGTGTGTGTGTATGTGTGTATGTGTACACGTGTGTGGTTTTGTGGTTTTTTTTTGCATGGGTATGTGTGTGTGTGTATGTGTGCGTGTGTGTGTATGTGTGTGTGTGTGTATGTGTGTGTGTGTGTGTGTATGTGTATGTATGTAGGTTTGTGCATGTGTACGTATGTAGGCGTGTGCATGTGTATGTATGTGTCTGTATGTTTCCATGTATGTGTGCGTGTCTGTCTGTTCTGTCCGTTAAACCTTTTCTTACCAATTACATTTCATTTTTATATGCAACCAGTTGTTATTTGGTATCTATTCATCCAAACTGCGATATTTCCCTTTCTTTTCCCGAAACTCTACCCGAAACCCTTCCCATCTCATTTTCCCGTTATTTTGGAATTGTTATTAAATTTATAGATGATGAAAGTAGTAAAGATTTCAGTTTACTTGTAATTTGAATGAATGTTAACAGCAGAAGTACACAGGAAAGAACAATTAACCGGAAACGTTTTCAATTTTAAACCGAATAATTACGATATTATTCAAATTAAGAAAAATTCTTCAACAATGACCTAAAATCTGAATAAAGTATATGAGTTCATCATTGGTTTGAGAATTTTTCGGCTATAATACTAACAAAATGCTAAAATATTTAATTTCTTTTTTTTTTTTTGACTTTTATAATAAATATTTTAGACCTTCAATTTACAATTTTTTTCTAATTATTAACTTGTTGCGCATTCAAAGTTTTTATATACTTTAAAAAGAAAAAGTATGACAAAAAAAAAATGTTGAAACAAAAAATTGAAATGAAATATAAAACTAAACAATAGTGTTTGAAACAATATCATTTATCAAATAAACAAAAAGACATTTTGTTCATCATTTACTTCAATATTACAACGATCATTGAGCAAATATTTTGTCCTCCTCTCTTAGGTCGACCCGTTATGATAGCTAATTATGAGTGAAAAATCAAAAAAGCAATTAAAATATAATTTTTAAAAAGCAAAAACAAAATAGGAAATGAAAAGGAACCGGTTGCTATTTTAAAATATCATTGTTAACTTTTTCTACCTCTTCAATATCCCAAATTTCGTGTGCAAATTTCAATTACCATGAATGTATGAAATAATTTATGAATGCTAACTTAATATACTGACATTTATATCTAACATCATTAAACCGTAGTATCATCATATAATTATTATCAGTTGCATAATGCTTCCTCAATTATCATTTATCTCTCTTTCTTTTCCATTTCACTTTTCACCTCTTATTAGCATCATAATGCTTTTGATTAGAAATATTAATGTAAATTTTCATTTATATAAGAAAATATGCATATTTCTATTAGGTCAGATAATCAGTTCATTTTCACAGTCATAAATAATTTCATTGCAACATTTATCAATGTTTGCTTCTTTCATTCCAATGAAATATTTTCAAATTTATTTATTGTTCACTGGAAATTATAGCACTATAATAAAATTCACTTCTTTCTTCTCTTCCCTTGCTGTAATGTAACAATTATGTATTACTCTTGGTACTATAAATAATTAAAAGTACAGTAGTGGTAATAGTTTTTATCATAAATGACAAATTGCGAATAGGTTGATTTGTTGCAAACAAGAACTTTTTTCTTTCTTCTATGTTTTATCACAGATAGGAATGTATATCCGAATTCTGTAAAAGATCAACAAACAAATAAAAGACGAATCGTCACTATGAGATAATTTTCTCCTGAAATTGTTCAAGTTGTATTTTTTAAAAATCAATTTTAAAACCAAAATAATTTCGTCTCTTTTATATATTCTATTTTATATATCCCCTTTTATATATTTTTTATATATTCGTCTGCTTCGTATAACACTGATTATTATTATATTTTATTTAACGACAACGCATTTACGGGAATTACAAAACAGAAAAAAAGGACAGAACCAAAACGAAATACAAAAAAACTTTTAAAAAAAAACTATAAATTATTACAAAAATAAACCATGAAAATAATTTCATCAGCCTTTTTCACGAAATGCAAGTATAAATTGATCTTACGGGCTTGCATACACCAACCACAAAACTGATTTAGCAGAAAGTACAACTTTAACGAACTAATTGTATTTACCATACTTATTATCATTTTACTTTACTTACTAACACGACAGAGAGAATAAGTGTCTTATTCTCTACTTATCATTTCTTACTTATCATTTTTTACCTTACTTATTACCATTTTGCAAAACGAGTCGACCTGACAACAGCTATCAGTCAATAATGGATAAAAATGTTCGGAGTTTCGCAAACATGGACAGTTTGTCTTGGAAGTAATAGAACTTCAGATCGCCAAAAAATATCTTTTACTGACAATTTGTCTTGGAAATAATATGACTTTAGACTAACATCACGACCGCCAAAAAAATATCTTTTACCGCTCATGGCACTTACGAAACTTAAATTACTTAAATTATAAATGATATAAATAAATTATGTTAAAAAACTTATAACGAAAGGAACAATAAATATTGCTCAACGGTTAGCATTTACAAAAAAATACAAAAAAAAACTCGATAAAATGTTCAACTAGAGATCATAATTGCCAGTTGTTTGAATCAACGCAAGCAACAACCTCTCTCCACCGTATGATCTTCAGTGGTTCATCGCAACGATGTTCTTCAAAGCTTTGTTTTCACGCAATAATTCTAGGTGTTTCTTTTGCAGTTTAAACAGTCGAGTTTTCAACTGAAGCTGCTCAACCGTCGCATCCAGTTCTTTTTTTTTCAGCGTCATAATCTCCATATAAGCATCACTCAGCTAAATATGTAGTTCAGAACTTCAAACAATTACTTTTCATGAACCTCGAATTTTTTTCTCTACCATCTACTGATTTTAAAATTTCAGTTTTACTAAGACAATCAGATTTTTTGCATATTGGATTCCTGTCCCGCATAACGAGCGATAAAGAGGAAAATAAATTGAAGTATTATTCATTGACAGTAATTGAATTTCACAATTTTCCATGTTTTTATTCGAGAAATTTGAAAAGATAATCTGAGTCTAGGAAATGTTAAGAGATGAGGAGAAATACTTTTCGTAGAACATCACGGTAACTCTCAAACATTTTCTCGGCTTCCGGTTTAGTATCCAAACTGCCATCGAAATGAGCTTGCGACATAATATCCGCCAACTCCAATGGATGGTTACACTCAGGGCAAGAAGACCAACCCTAAAATAAGTCGGATTCCCCACAAATTCTGGCAGCAGTTTGCCATGAATGAAATGAAATCCAGGCCAGGAGGACTTCTGCCATGCTTTCGTCAATGTTGAAATGCTGAAATTCCAAGAAAAACACGGGGCTCACGTATATGAAGAAGTACATGACGCAGTTGAGGTGATACAGGTGTCCACAAGGAAGGGCCAAAATATCGCTTAGTGCAATGTGTGACGAACAAAGCACACAAGACGATGCAAATCTGCAATACATTCAGCGATGTCATTAACTTTTAATTCCCAGTGTGAAATATCTGTTCCAACATGGCAAATTTTAAACTTAAAATTCAAAGTCAGTACCAGAATGACTTGCACATTTTCAGTCGTAAAAAAGAAAAAATACTTTTTTGTATTTGTAGCCGGTGCATTTGATGTACCCGAGTTATCCGTTGCATCGGCCATGATGAACAGGAAGTTAACCGATTAGGCTGACTGAAATGGAAATAATTAGTAAGTGTTGAAAACAAAAAAATAAACCCTTATAGTAAATTGTCCAAAATGAAATGAGATCTTTGCATCTAGCTGATATAATATCACTCCATCGATCTTAAAAAGTTACAAAATCTCTAAACGGATTTAGCCCCTTTCACGACTACTCGAGTCAGATCTTCACCTTTCTGAAACACAAGATCATAAGGGGACTAAATGGCAAACATAAATATGGCATGTTTTTGTGATAATTGATTTCACTTCCCTCCTCAAAATAAACCACTGTGATAATGTTAATTTTCTTATGTTTTTAAGAAGTAGTATCTTCTTCTTTTCTTTTTCCACATCCTCCCATCCCATTCATTAATTTGATAATGTATAGACAGTCGGAGTATATTTTTGAAAGCTTTAAATTAAATTAAATTAAATATTGGAAGCAGATCTTTGGCTATTTTCTGATAAACGCTAATGCTACAAACTACGACAGTCACATTAGTGATATGATAGCTGGAACTGCAAACCGGTTTCCCATGCTAAATAATCGACATATTGCTGCAGTCCTACCTAGAGGATTTGCCAGGTGCACCGACATTCATTCATCTGTGCATGTTCCTCACAGAAGATTACTAATTTATCAATCTCACTTTTTTTTTTTATTTTACTAATTTTCTTTTATTTTTATTTTACTAATTACTAATTTATCAACCCTATTTGAAAATCTAATATGAGGAATATGCCAAATTAGATAGATAATATATCGTCAAGTTACCTGCAGAATCATTCTATTGAATATGTTAAATTAAATTTTCGTTCTAACCATTCTCATCCTAATATTATTATATTTTCTGAGCTAATAATAGTGCTAAATATATTAAATGATAAGGGAAAAAAATGAAAGGAACAAAACTACTTAATTATCTTTTTCGTTACTGTACGTGAAGTAACACGTATCAACATACAACCAATGAGAACGTAACGTCTAACGCCCGCACCAACCAACCAACCACCTCTCAACTAACCTAAATGCACAAATGAAATCCCACCGAGCCATTCCAGGATAAATTGCCTCATTCATGCTTCCAGATTATTCTTCACTTTGTCACGTACGCATACGTTCATTTCAAGGATAATTGGTCCTGGCACGAAAATTGTATAGCTGTATGTTTGTGTTTGCTTGTGTGTTTTCTTTCTCGACGAGAAATTTCAATCGATATGACATCATCGCGGAATATTTTTTTGTTATCGGAAGGTGAGAAAATAATTTATGCAAAATTAAGTAATCAGAGAGGGGTGGTCTTTTAAATTAGATATATGGAGAAAATGTCATAGATTTTACATCTATTTAGATTAGAAATTTCCATTTGATTTTTTTTATAGTTTTTTTTTCTTTTTTGGTTTTAAAATTTCCTCTACAAAACTGTTTTTACAAATGTGTTTTTCTTGCATATCATTCATATTTTTCTTTTTTTGTCAGATTTAAAATATGAAAGTGTTATTTTTTCAGTATATTGGAAATTCCTGCCCATTAGTTACAGTTATTAGAAATGTTGATCCGCTTTGTATGGCGTATTTCTGATCGTTACAGCAAATTAGGGTTCCTTTTTATTCATATTACTGATAGCTTATGAATTCTTAGCATCCAAAAAATCTCAACCCCTACAGTTCTTTACTGGTGTAATATTTCCATTATCAACTATTTTGAAGTTGACTATTTGAAAATTCTTATGCATGCTATTATTAAGCAAATGTAATTCAGAAATATATCACATGCTATTTTTCTAAATTTTCGTTTTAGAGTTTTTCAGATTTTTTTTAAATAGATGGTTTCGAATAATTTACTACGTGTTACTTTCATTACTATGCGTATCAGCTTTTTTGTTAATATCTTTTTTTTTCTTACAGAAATGCATGGATTGCTGTCAGTTAGCATACGCCAACTGCATATTCAAAGAATAATCACTCTGAAAGCAATTCGTTATTTCTCCAGAACTACTGCGCCACTCCGATGTAAGATTGAAATCGGTAAGGAGGCGAAAAGTTTGGTTGAGAAAGCAGCGAGAAAGATGGATCCCTTTTCCGCTGAACAAAATGAACCGATCACAAAGTTTGTTGCTTTCAAAGAATTTGTTAATTTTGGAGAGGGAGTTTGCAGATTGAAACTCTTGATTTTATTATATTTTTTTTCAGTTTCAAACATCATATGGGCTTTCATGGCTTCGAATTATACCCAATTCAAGGTCAGGTCATTGCATGGGCCATTGTACTTGTACTTATAGCCTACTATGCCTCTGCAAAAATTGAAATCGTCATTGATCGAAGTGAGTGTTAATATTTGTTATACTTTACTGGCAAAGTATCATACGTTATAGTCGTAACTTGTCTGTTTCTTTGTTGTGCCGTAAATCCTCAAAAGATCGAGGCTGCCACAACTTCATAAGAATTATAATAAACAGATTAAGTAGTTTTGAAATAAACAAATTTGTTACAAGAATTTTTTACTAGAAAAATCACGTCTATGTTACTTATGTGGTTGATGTCTGTGCTGCTAACACAGCTATATAATATTTGTCTAGGGGTTTTCAGTTTAGTCCCCTTGAAACTTAGGAAAAATAAAGAAGTTTTAACTTTGATCACGAGCTAATTTTGAATTTTTAAATTGATAGGGTTAGAAAGTTGAAGTACAAAAATAAGTGTTAACAGAATTTTTGTGCTTTAGCATATTCAAATTGTATATCTAATAGAAATTAGCTGTCATTTTTGCCACATTATAATGACTGTAAATTTTTAAGGCTACAAGAACGCTCCATTCACTTGGGCTACAATGAAGGATCGTGATCATGATTACGTTGCTTTCGGGTAAAAATTTCAAAAATAAATTACTTGTTGATTGGATTTTTCAAGACTCATTTTGATTCATTGATTTGGAAGTTTTACTTTACGTAACGAAGTAGCAGTGTTTCGAATGCAATAACTATAAAGGCGGTGGTATTTATTAGTCAGGTATTTTTGTTCTTTTGATGAATCATTTCACCCCTATTTTAACGAAACTTTTAAACATGTCATACAATGTGTCTGTGTATCTTTGTAACTGTTTGCAGAAAATTTTTTTGCTAGATAAAAATACTCTTGTAGTTTCGAACCAAAACCAGCGATACCACGTTTGGATCTGATGGAAACACTGCAAGAGGAAATGATTGAGGAAGCAAGAAGACGTGGTACTCGTAAGTAAATAGCTTACATAACCGTCTTTTAGAGCTTTTTTCTTTCTGTATTTATTGTAATGCTGTAGCTTGTAGTGAAGATTATGTAGTGAGGAGCATATTTGGTGCTAAAATATTCACAGAATCCTGTAATCTTACCTTCCACTTTATCTAATTTCATGTATTATTTCTCGCAACTCTTGTCATTCTGGGTTAAAAAAAAAAAAAAAAAGAGTTACTATCCAGAATTTCCGGAAAGAGTTTTAAAAACGTGCTTTTTTTGATCGAAATTTTCAAGTGTATGTAACGTATGGATTTTATTTTCACCACTGCAACCCAAAAGCTACTTTTACTTGATTGTTCAATATTTTCTGACACTGTTAAATAGTTCGAAAGGATTTTCTTCAGCTTGTCATTTTTATACTTTGACAACTTTTCATTTCATTATCTAGAATTTATGTTCATATTTTCACTTTTCTTTGTCATAAAATTGCTTTCACATAGATTAATATAAATCCTACCCATCTACTTCTTCAACGGAACTATATGGTAGTCTGGATAAATCTTAATGCATTATTACAGTACTGACTGTTGAACGGTTTCATTAGTACAGTGGCTGGCCTTTCTTTAAAAAATATTCAGAATGCAGCAGATACAAAGAAAAATGTTTCAGGAGACATTTTTTAAGAAGATAAGGGCTAGAAATCGAAAAACTCATTTGTATAGGATTTTCATTTCTTCCTTTTGTTTTTCGTAATTTCTCCTTTTTTCTTCTGAAGCATTCAGAATTTGTTGTTTAAAAAGCACATGCTTTTTGCCTGTATGTCTGTGTTGCATTGCTTCCTAAAAAAATTATCATTTTATATCATTACTCTGTGCTTTTTCAGTGTTCCCATACATGCTGTATATTATATAAACATCTTATAACCAACTATGTCTATTCTCACTTTAAACATTAGTGAACTTTTTTTCAAAATAGCGAAGAGAAAATATAAGAAAAAATCTTGGAAATTTTTCTAAAGTGAAATCCTGCTATTGCAGCGATTTTATCCTTTCTTTCTTAGAACACGTGTTGTTTAACATGGATTTGTTAGTGTGTTTTTGATGTTACACTTGTTAGGGTAGAAGTTATATCATATTCTATGTAAATAGACATATCAAAAATTTTCGAAACTGAAGGTTAATGAAAAAATGGAATAATGATAAAGGATCTCGGTAATATCTTTTAAAACTTTTTCCTTGACTTATACTCGTTTTCGGGATAATGGTCATCTAACTTTCACTTTATGTTATAGTAATCAATGAAGCCAAACTGTATATTCTTAATTGAGTTATTCTTGATCTTACTATGATGAGTTAATGGACAATAATGAGATGGTGGAAATGAAGCGAAGCGATCTTCATGTCACAGTGCTACGACATATTTTCCGTTTGTGAACTATTACATAATTAACCTTGAATTCTTTGTCCATTTAAATAT